TTTATATATATATATATATATATATATATATATATATATATATATATATATATATATATATATATATATATATATATATATATGAAAGCCATAGTAAGATGAAGGGAACTGACCTCCAAACTTCATAGGTAGTTATCAATAGTAAAATGTATGAAAGCCATAGTAAGCAAACACATCCAACATAATAAATCATCATACAGTGGCCTTTCTTCTCATTTGATTGAAATCCAGATTCAAGTAGTACTCCCCACAATCTTTTGCAAATCCCTAGCGTACAACTAATCACAAAAAAAATTGTGTACTCCACATTGGAAGATTTCTACCATCTGAAAATATGATGCCAATTGGCAAACATTTGTTTTTTAAATACAAAAACCACCTTTTTTACAAAAAAAAACTACAATCTATTTTTTATGTAAGCATATTTATTTATTGTTCTTTTAGGCATGAGACATGAGAAATTTCAGCTTGCTTTATACAATTGTATATAACATAGATAGATTATAATTTACAAACCCAACAGTCTACCCTTTAACCATAAAATAAGTCCATTAATGTAAAAAAATTGAGTAAATTGTTTATTTCTAATTCTTAAGCTTATAATATAAAGCTCTCAATTCTTTTGAAAAGAAAATAAACAAATCATAAGGTACTCATCAATAGTAGACATCCAAAGAATGAAAGTACAACTACACTATTTATGAACTTCATCCCTTGCTCATTCATTCATTGAGGAATTGAAAGACAACAACATCAAAAGGCAACAACTTGGAATTACTCAAAACTCAAAAATATATACGGAGTAACTACTTGAAAATGTAGAAGAGAAGATTGAGTGTTAGCCGTGATTATAGTCATTCATCGTAGTTCTTTTAATTGGGTTGCCTCCATCTAGGCCAAGTTTTCTATTCATACGGGAGACATTGAATTGAGGAGTTCTTCCATATCTTTCAACAACAAATATTCAAGTAAATACAAAGAACCACAAATCAAAGAAGGTACACCTGTGCAAAATCGGTTACCAACATTGAATTGTAACCATTTGAACTGTTATATTTCAAATACTCCCTAAATCTGCACTTTTGAAAGTGATACTGTATTATTTATGATAGTAGAAATCAAAAAAGCAAAGATTAAATTATTAGTTCAATAAATAAAATAATATTTGAATAAAAAATTATACCATCAGTGTCATTGCAAAGTAGATATCCATCTTCCATCCTCAAGCTTTTTCAAGTTATCCAGCCACCATATTCTCCAATCTCCCTTGATTCTACAGGAGAAGCAAATTTCCTCCATCTCATTTTTTGAGAAGCATGGTGTGGATCGAAGTTGTGAAGCCTGCCACTGCCATTGACGCAAAAATATTATACTCCGAGAGGCCCAGATTTACGAAGAATAAATAAAAATTTGAATTCAAGAAAAAAAACTTACCGGCTGCTAAACTTGAAGGCGAAGAGACCAATGGATGAAACCCTAGATCCGGAAGAACCTTGCGGCGGACTCCGTCGAAGAAGACAACATCCGCCACATCTCTGTTGAAGCAGCGAAGATCTGAGAGGAATCCGGCGCAAGCTTTGTTGTTAATTTTCGGAAGCTTACGGCGTAAACTTTGTTGTAGTTATCGCGGAGTTTGCGTCTAGCATACGACATAAGTTTTGAGCTTCGTTTTCCAGCTCTCTATGTGACAGGCCCATTTGGGAGTGACCCGGCTCAATAACTTTTGGCGGGAACACTGTTCATTTTGGCCTCCTACCATTGTATATATAGAGATTATTGTAATTTACTCAAACAATTAAGTGCTCCAAATAATTTGTCGCACATTCATATCAACAATCGCACTTAATGACTATAATATTTTAGACAATCCATAGAGCCAACTATATAGCCACAAGGGATGAAGAAATTTTATATAAATAAATAAATAAATAATCAGTTGGTACACTTAGAACATGATGTGTATTATGGTGGATCAAATGAACAATGCAGTCTTGATACACAATGTTTCCTTCAATTATTTATCAGTATTTCTCCTAACCAAAGAAACAAACAAAGATAGAAACATGGGAGGCTTCTGTTCTTATTTAAGCTTGGACTCCAATTGCAGCTTTCTCTGAATAGCGAACATCATCTGTCTTTACAGCCGTTTCCCATATCTCCGGGAGCGCCTCCTTCATATTGTGGATGCTCTCTAGAGCATAATCCACTCCCGTAGTTGGATGCGATCCCCCCACCTGTTCATTCAAGAAAATATGACCGTAGATGATCATGGTCTGCTTTTGAACAAAAAAAAAACGAACGAACAAAAAAGTAATGGCTTTTTAGAAGAATCGCAGTCAATTACCCACACCGTGCTGAGACCAGTGTGTTTCGCTGTCTGCAGATTTCGGATGGAGTCGTCAAAAAACAGCTGGTGGCATTACAAAACACACATTATTATTACTAAACGCCTTAGTAGGGCAATATAAAGTTGAACTGGTGAAGGACAGGATGAATCATACCGTGCGCTTGGGATTAATATCAGAAATTTTGAAAGCCTTTTCAAAGGCTTCTTCAAATGGTTTGCATACGACTGGAGACTTGGGAAATCCTGTAAGTTTGCATACCCCTTTCGATTTTTAGCCATTGCAAATAGGAAGAAAAGGTGAAATAAATATGGGAAGGCAACTTGGGCATGCTTCGCGCCATTGGTTCCTTTATGGACAGTTATCTTGGAACAGACAGAGTACAATGTTTGAATGTGGCCTTTCAAGTTGTTTCTCTTACCATTACTATTCAAGCCTTGTGGTACACTACTGGGGCGAGGAGGATTCAGAGTCTCGAAACAGATAATATCATCAAAGCAGTCTTCAAGACCCAGTCGGCTTAGGACCATGGCCACATGGGCTTCATTTGCATTCGAAAATATCTGTAACACATTCATAGCTTATGACACAATTGCAGCTTTTATGGTTCCCATAAATATAGTGCGCGAGGAACTCACAACTTTTCGGACAGGCAAGCTGTGTAAAAGATTCTTCAGAACAGGATCTGGCTTTAAGAGCTCATAAGGCAATCGCCCGTGGACGAAGCTGAGGACAAAGAAGTAAAATCAGGTGCTTGTTGCTCAACTTAGATAACATACCCACAGAGAAGAGAATGAAATGATTGATACCTGTGGTACTCATCATAGTCGAAGTCATAGCCGATGGCCTGAATAGCAGAAAATGTAACTTAAACTAGTCAGCTTTCAGCTATAGGGTTCTCATTAACTTAACCTGTTGTTAACTTTTGAAGAAAAAAAACTGTTTTCTACTTCTTATAAGTTTATAATTGGGGGCTGAAACTGAAAAGATCATACCCTCAAACCAGCCATTGTTGTTCCATAGTCCTTGTAAAGTTGCACACACATTTCTGGAACTTTGGTGGGTTCAATACCAAGCTTTTCAATCATGTATTCTATAATACATATCAAGTATTGAAAATTAGCCGGGTGCAATCATGATTACCAAATCAAACCAAACAAGACAAATATATCCCATTCAAGACTACATTGTCAACCCTTAACTTTAGCAGTTTGGAAAGGCTATTTAACGGCGATGTTTAGCTTTAACGTTTTCAAAGTTGATTTTTCACTATTAAAAAAGATCCAAAACGCTAACACTAATTGAAAATATTGTACCCGAAGTCCCGAACGAGGTCTAGAGTCCTGGGGGCAAGATGTACGCAAACCTACCCTCTACACAAAAAGGTGGAATCAAGAAAAGGTGATAATTACCATTTATGTTCAAAGTGCATTGAGCTGAAATACCAGAACTAAATGGGTAGAGGGTGTCATCAACATCTGGAAATTTCCAAAAAAAAAATGGTGTAAGTCAACTGAAATAACCATTTCTTTTGTATGTAGAATAAAAATGTATACAACAGATCACCAAAAAGTAGGCATTCATATTTTCGCTCCGGAATTTCTTGAAAGCAATCCTCACGATCCATTTTAGCCTAAGAAGATAAAATGACATAGAAGATGAACATCAGAAGAGCAAGACAAAATCTTTATGCACAGAAAAAGCCTACCCAAGAGAAAGAATAAATCTTTATTGTGTAGAAAATACCTGGTCAACAACAAGAAGAAATCTTTGTGAGCAGAAAATGTCTGGTCAAGAGCAAGTAGAAATCTTTATGAGCAGAATGAGCAAGAATGCATAATAAATAATCAGTCAAAACCAAAAGATTTACTTGTAAATGTGAAAATACGGCTAAAAAATGAATCGATTTCCCACAAAATTAACCAAGAAAAACTATCTTCAAGCCCAGACAATTAAATTGGATTTCAAGACACATTTATCAACAAAACTCATACAACTTGAATCCAGAAACTCAGACTTCTATCCCCATTGCAGAAAAACCTCAGCTCCGAATTCTATCAAACCAAATATAGATCATTCCCCAAACAAATTGGAATTTGAACAAGGCTGTGAGCTATGAAATATCTGAGAATGCATTAGATTACTCCAGATCAGTAAAGAGAAAAAGGCAAAAGGTTGACTTTTTGCATCAATACAAACACCTAACATTGCTGAAGTACCTAAATGGATTTGCGGAAAAGGGAGAAAAAGAACATCTTTCAACTTCTAAGAGAAATAAGAACACTTGTACTTGTACTCCTAACAGCCACACACAGATTAAAGAAATTAAAGAAACAAATGTTGATGAAGATGGAGAGTAAAGAATTGAACCTGAGGAAGAAGAAAGAAGAAGAAGAAGAAGAAGAAGAAGAAGAAGAAGAAGAAGAAGGAATGAGATTGGAATGAATTGAAGCTGTTTGAGGAGTGGGTGAAGTCGGCCTACATTTTATTTGTCTTCTCCCATACTTTTCTCCAAAAGTTCATGCGGGAAAATTACAAGGGAAACTTTTTTATGGGGTAGGGTATTTTTCTATTTTAATATGCAATAGAGTACTTTTAAACCATATACACTGACCTAAATTAAATGCTTTCACATTATTTAAAAAAGCTACACATTTATCAATACTCATTCTAAAATAAGATTTTATTCTTCACTAAAAATAATTGTTCTATGGTCAAATAAATGAAAATTTTAATTTAAGACAGATGAAGTATATGTTAATTTTTTCATTTGATTTATTTTTTCGTTTCAAACATTAAAAAAATTTAATTTTTAAAACATACTCCCAAAATGTAAGCAACATTTCGAACGACGGGCAAAATATCATCTCTTTTAAAATTATTTAATTTATAAATTAGTAGAGAAATGAAAAGTAAAAATTACACTGTTGACAAATAGACCAAAACTTCTACAATACAAGATGCGACAAGAATAATTTATTTTATCAAATGATCAACCAAAACGGGTAGACAAAAGAAAGTTTTCGAGAGCCGAAATAAGAATTGTTGCTTACATTTCAGGACAGAGTGAGTAATAAAAATTATTACTAAAAAAGAAATAAAAAAACTTTATGAAAAAGGAAACAAGCTAAGGAAAAAAGTGAAATACTAAAAGAGTAAAAATTATAAAAAGAACAGAAAATGGGAAAATGGGTTTTGTGTGTCCCTTGTAGTTTGAAAAATAGACATGAATGCCCCTATTATCAAACCTCAGTCTCACTCCTAGAGCGTGAAATGCATGCCAGAAATTCATCGACAGAGTGGGCATAGAAGCAACATTTGAAACCATGGAAATTATATAGGTAAATTTTGAAAAAGGAGAAGTGTTGGTGCTCATTTCCTCAATCGCAAATGACCCTGAAGCTATTAACCCACTGTTAGCCCACATTATTTAGTTTAATGTTCACTTACATGCTCTTAGCTTTTTTTTAATAATCGTTTCAAAATGAAATTTTACTTTGGAAAGAATGAGTATTCCTACGCATTTGACCTGATAGAGTTTGAAAGTTTGCAAAAATATAACAACACAATGCACATTATTTTTGTACAAATAAAAACAAGCGTGAAATAATCTTTTCCGATAGATAAAAAGTGAGATCGTTCTATCATGTAAAGATTTCTCTAGTTGACTTCATAGAGTTTAAAAATATCCAAAACAAATCATGTATTATCGATCATTGTTTCGGAGGGGTTATTTTGACACAACCATGCAGGTGGGTGCCATATCATGATGACCCTCATCCAAAAATGACAATTCCTACCCATTCTAAATCTCCGGTAAATCCTCTCACCTCGTTCCGACCCGAACTTAGCACACACCCTTTTAACTGCGCATCAAATTTAGTTAACTCTGGATCAAATATCTTAACCCTAAAGTCCAATAAGTTTGGGGTCAATAGTGTTGGCAATGCACCGGTATGGGGCAAAAACATATGGTTAGAACTTAGAAGTGAATAAAGTCTGAGATTCTTTAAGAGATTGAAGAAGCATTCATGGTATTTAAACCCATAAACTTTTTATTTTTAGTCCCTCATAAGAGAAAACATGTCACTTCACTAAGTATTTTGACCTCTTAGTGTGGTTGGCAACTACAAAATGGAAGTATCAAGCTGCAAATAAGTTAATGTACACAAGCCAGACTTAGAATACAACCCTCCACCAGCTATCAATGAAATATGCGCATATCAGATTAAAGCTTCCCAATAACAGAGAGATATGACGCCGATCAGGGCGATGTGTGGAGAGAGGAATGCAGAATTAAAAATTCAAAATCCTTAAGCTGCAGGCAGAGCATTCAGCAACACCATTATAAACACAGTTTGAGAAACAAGTTGGTTGATCAGGTTGGCAGCCACTCTATCAATGCAGTTAGAGCCATTTTGGGTTTTTACCATGAGATAGATTCTGGGTTCCATATATCAGAGAATGTACATGCATGCATACATAACATTGTGGTTGGTGTCAAGCAGTGACGGCATCTGGTTCAATATGGGATGAGGGTGAATCGTTCTCCTCATCGGCGCCTTTATTTTCACTCTCGGATTCCTGCTGAAAACCTTGCTTGAAGATATCGTAATTCGTTGTCTCGCTTGACTTGAAAGGGCGCTCGCCAAGAACCTGGACCAAGTCGTCTTGGTGAAGGACCTCCTTCTTGAGCAAGAGCTCCGCGATCTGGGCTACATGTTCCTTGTGTTCTTCTATCAACTGGATTGTCTTTTCATAGGCTTTCCCAACCCATTCTCGAACTTCGCCATCAATGATTGAAGCTGTTTTGTTGCTGTAAGGCTTGCTCATACCGTCACCCTTAGGAAAAGAGACCAGTCCAACTTTCTCACTGAAACCATAAGCAGAAACTTGGGCATATGTCATTTTTGTTACTTTCTCCAAGTCATTTTGGGCGCCCGTCGAGATTTTACCCAATAAAACCTTAAGCCAAAAAAAAGGGAATCAGTTAAAACATAACCTATAGTAGAATATTCCACAATGAATTAAAGTACAAATGAAGGTGTGAGATGAAATCTATAAAGAGTCGGGGCAGCAGTTGCAGCACTTCGGAGGCTAGATAGTATAGTTAATGACACTTTCAAGCAATAAGCGCATTTTGAAGACAAAAAGTGCTTTACTTAAAAGAAGAATTGAAAGAGTGCATCCAACTTTTTAAAAAAAGTACTTCTAAGTTCTAATGCTCCTATTGAACAAATCAGATGATTAGTGTTTTTCTTTTAAAACACAGACATAAATTAGGTGTTTAAATGAGAAAGCACTAGTGATTATCCCAAACAGGCTCATAGGAACACCATGCTAAGATTTGCAACAAGATTTCTTGCATTGAAAACAATTTCTACCTGCTCTGCAGCCCGGCCACCAAGTGTCATGCATGTCATGTCAAAAAGCTGCTCTTTGGTCATGAGGAGGTTCTCATTAGGGACATACTGGGCAAAGCCAAGTGCTGCAGTACCACGAGGAACAATTGTAACCTTCAACAAGGGCTCTGCATATTCTAGAAACCATCCAGCTACTGCATGGCCTGATTCGTGGTATGCAACAGTTTTCCGTTCGAGTTTGCTTATTACCTGTTGAGATATAAGTATTCATTGAATCCAACAACAACAAACACAGTAAAATACCAACTTCATTGGGTCTGGGGGTCAAGATGTACACAACCTTACCCCTGTAAAAAACAGAGACTGTTGCTCTTAGACCCTTGATGCATTTACTGCCCAAAATTTCATAGAAAGTAAAAAACAATGGAAGTTTGATGTGCCATTTTGATTTAGTCCACTATTTATATTACTACTTCATTGAATCATTATTTATATTATTATATTAGGATTGATAAAGGTGCTAGTTGCATATACATGCATTAATAGAACACAAGTTGGTTTCTCATGAGAGTCATAGTCATTAGACCCTTTCACAGTGAGAAAGTGACACTCATAGCACTCTTTATCAAACTTTTGGTCTACTGAATGTTAAACTATTACTGCCTCCGTCCCAAAAGAACAGTCACATTTGGCCACAACAGAATTTTTTAATTCTAGTATGGTAGACCTACCGTAGATCCTACTTAGATATTTTTAAACTTTATTTGAGGCTTAAGAAAATTTATTGTATGTACAAGTCTTTTCTGAAAATTTATCTTCATTTGATCAAAGGGGGCTCTTTTTTTAGGACAAAATAAATGTGAGCAACAATACTCTCTTTTCAGTCGGAGTACAGGTGTGGCTTAAATTCTTTTCAAAAACACCGTCTATATTTTTCTCAAGGTTGCTCAAGCAGTTGAACTCCATAATGGACATTATGAAACCAAGATGGTGTAGGGTTGACTGGATGAGTGTTAATTGTTCTCTTACAATAGTTTGGGGAGGGAAGGGGGAAGAATATCTTTTTTCTGAAAAGGATATCTGATGTATTTGTATATGTAATTGAAGGAGTTACCTTGTTCTTCTTCTCCAAACCACCAATGATCCTGTCTATAGCCGCATCAAAATGTTCCATTTTTACAAGTGTTTGTTCATGTCTTGCGGCAATTAAAGCAGCTTCATTGCAAACATTTGCAATATCTGCTCCAGCAAATCCAGGAGTAAGGGCTGCCAGTCTCTGAGAGTAATATGATGGTTCATGATCAAGCTTAATCTTTTGCAGATAGATTTTAAAGATCTCATCTCGACCTTTAATGTCAGGTGCATCTATGCTAATCTGGCGGTCAAAACGACCAGGCCTTAGTAAGGCACTGTCTAAAATATCTGGTCTGTTTGTTCCCGCCAGAACAACCACACCAGTAGTTGTTCCAAATCCATCCATCTCAACAAGCAGCTGGTTCAATGTACTCTCACGCTCATCATTACCACCTGAGAAACCACCACGACCCCTAGCCCGGCCAATAGCATCGATTTCATCAATGAATACGATGCTAGGTGCACATTTCCTAGCTTCTTGAAACAAACTTCTAACCCTTGCCGGGCCAACCCCAACAAACATTTCCAGAAAGTCAGAACCAGATATGGATAGAAAAGGCACGCCAGATTCACCTGCAGTTGCTTTAGCTAACAAAGTTTTGCCTGTACCTGGAGGGCCTACTAAAAGAGCGCCTTTTGGAATCGTTGCCCCCAAATCCTCATACTTCTTTGGGTTCTTGAGGAAGTGTACAAATTCCATTATTTCCTGCTTTGCTTCTTCACACCCAGCAACGTCTTTGAAATAAATCTGGAGGGAAATAGATCTGAGTTGTTAGCAAACAGAAACACAATTAACTTTAAGCATAATAAAACTCTTTGGAGAAACACAAACATTATAGTAACCATAAATACTAGCCTTGTTTTTTGCATTTTTATCCACTTTACTGATAGGTGCCTTTCCCATGTTGAATATCCCACTGCTACCTTTACCTCCCATACCTCCAACACCCACACCACCTTGCATTTTCCAACGAATTAACATGCCTGCTCCCAAAAGTAAAAATGTAGCCCAATATCTCATCAATTCTTGGAGCCAATTCATTTCATATGTATATATAACTGGAACAAAATCATGAGGGTCGACCCCTAGAGCCTTTTGAGCATCTTCCAGCTTTTCCTCGAAAGATTCAGAACTTGCAATATTAAAAAAGAATTGACATTTCGCTTTGTGTTTTTCATGAGCAGACCGCAGGTTGACATCTAGTCCCTCATAAGAATCACCTCCCCTTTGAATTTGCGCTGAGCTTTTAAGGTAAACTTTTGCAATTGTTTTGTTAGAGACAACTATGTGGTCCACCACACCTGCTTCAAGCAACTTGGTTTTGAACTCATGGAAACTAATCTGCAAGTTTTAGCATCCAGTGTTCAAAGGAACGTGTCAATTGTTGAAAGAGATCATAAGAAATGGGTGCAGACAAGAAAGCTAGAATTGCAATTGCATATTTGCATTCAAGTAGAAGATGGTAGATGGTAATACACTAAAATTTACAATATTCTGATAAAAATAAAATTTTATATTTACACAAAAAACCATCTAAAAAAACATAAGAAGGTTCACACTATGAAAAAAGGAAACCCCAAAAACTAAGCCTTTTGCAATAAACTTGAAGGTTCTGATCAAGGAAAGAAACAGTAGTTATCGAAATATGCTAAAAGAACAGAAAAATGATGACACATCAGGAATTACAGGATAGGCTAATAGAGCAAAAGAGATCAACATAGTAAAATGCATATACAGGCAAGTTTCTATAGAATAGAGTCAATAGACTTTAAGTGAATGTTCAAGTATATATGCACCTCCTTCTCTCCTCTGGAAGTAAATGTAATGAGAGCCAATCCAACTGCCAACAAGGGGAGGGCCAAATTTTGGAAGAACTTCATGAGGGTTTCCTGAAAGTCACTGCGATCACCTGAATTCGTCTCCTCTGATAGTAAACAATTTAAAGGTATTATCCAACTGGAAAAAAAAGGTCCCATTCAATGAAGGGTTCCCAATTTCACATGAATACCAAGTATTTAAAGAAATAGGAACTCGCCAAAAACCAAACCTTTTGATTGAGATTTCTGCTCATCCTGCTTCGGAATTTCCTTGCTCTCTTCTGGAACATCATCATCACCTTCTGCAAGCACATAGAGAAAGTCGGTAAGAAAAAAGAAATTACAACAGTACATGTAGAGGGAGAGAACTTGGGAAATGGGCAGAAATGTCTCACTTTTATCCTTGGGGGCTTCACTTGAGAAAAACCTGGAGAATCTTAGGCTCCCGAGAGCATGATCAAGATCAGATAAACACTGCTTCCGTACAAAGTCCTTATTCGTGCTGATTGCAGCTAAATAACCCCTCAAAATCCCTAATTGTCCGGCGAGCATATTCTTACTTGAACCATTATAGATATCGAGAGCTGCAAAAATTTCCCGGTTCCGATTCGCTAACCCACTACTGTAAACCCCGCTTAACGCGTTCTGAAACCGGAAGAAATTAAAATAAATTAAAATAAATCCGATGAACATACATACGGAGTAGTCGATTGCAGTCAATAGAAGATGTACAGTGAATCAGCGAGAAACTTACTCTGGAACAAGAGTTCCGAGGTAATGAACGGGAAAACCTGGAGAAGATCATGACGGGATGAAATGGCTGAAGACTGCTGAATCACGTTGACGATGAACTTTGCTCTTCTTTTTCCAGGACACTTTGTTCTTATTTCATTAGGTTCTTATTTCATTAGAAATAATGAAATTTGCACTAAATAGAATTTAATAATGTTTAGTGCGAGAAATAATGTCCAATAATAATTGATATTTACTTGAATAATGATTAATTGATAATGATTGGACATTTACTTGAATAATGACTAATTAATAATGACTAAAAGTCTTACATTGGAAAATAAAAAGATATGGTCTTATATTGGAAAAGTAGTTATGTTTTAGTCATATTTATTGTAAATTTCTCTTAGAAATATTTGTTACACCAAAAATACATACAAGTGGAAAAATATCACAATTCAATATACTTCCTACCCCCACACCACAATAGATAGTGCACCCCGAAAACGTACCTCCTCCGTTCTAAAAAATCTTTCCTGTTTACTATTACGGTCTCTCGATAATTCTTATTTGTTTGCGTATTTTCATTGATTATTTGATCAAATAAAATATTCTTGTCACCTCTTATTTTATAGAGTTTTCGGTGTACTTTTTAAATATAATTTTCTTATGTGTTAAGGAGTATATTCCTTACCAATTTGTAAATAAAATCATTTTAAAATTCACGGGGTTTTGCACATTAATCAAAGTAAGAAATTCTTTTTGAGACGGAAGGAGTATAAAATTACATTATTTTAAAATTATTTTGACGGCAAAGTTTTCACCCCTCCTAACGCGCTCTAAACCCCCACCGTACCCCCACTTAGACCACCTTTTGCTTTCTCTAAATGTATGGCTATCCTTCCTAACACACCCCCTAAACCCCACCACACTCCCGCCCTAGATCTCTTTTTACCCGTCCAAATGTATGGCTATTATAATAACCACATATTTGGAGGGGATAAAAGTGGAGGTCTAGGATGGGGTGAGAATGCGGTGGAGGGTTTAGGAGTGGGTTGAGAGAGGTAAGAATCATCAATTTTGAAAACAAAGCACTAGAAGTACTTGAAATAGACAAGTATCATCAGTTGACACTAGATGACAGTGTCAATGGAACCTTGCCGTCATTTTTAAGTTAAAATTCGTATACAAATAAAAAGTGAGTATATATTACGGAGTATATCGTTAAAAAGTACATAAAATTTTATCGAGAGACCGTAATAGTAACAAAAATAACTTTTTTTAGACAGAGAATATATACGTACTGAGCAACACTTACTAGCAGAACAATTATATTTGGATTCGGTATAAGGTAACTTCTCGTATCAAAAATCTCAAATCGAAATCGAATATATATACGTACTACAAAGTAATATGGAGTATTTTTATATAAATCTATTTATATTCAAAAAAAATATTTCTTCAATATGTAACAAGTTTATTTTGAAAACTTGGTTCACTTTTTATTATTTAAGAATTATACTTTATTTGAATTTTAATTTTCTGTAGATAAATTTTAAAATAGTATGAAGTATTTAGAATACTATTTTGTTAGTGTGTATTTACTTTAAATTGTGGAATAAAAACTAAATTTCATAAACATTATTTGGATTTTAATTATTCATTTTTTTAAATTTTTATAATTATTATATTATAATGTATTCTTGATTTTTCAAAAAATGGAGTTTGTTATTCCTTCGGTTTTTTGAAAATTTTTCATTTGAGTTTTATAGTCTTCAATGCAATATTTTGACTATCAATTATAGAAAGGATTATACAAATGTCTCACTACATAAATAATATTTCCATCTCTAAGAAAACGTCTGTGTTTCACTCTAGAAGTTCAAGAATTTTGTAGGTCACTTGTTCCTTATCTTCAAAAAAGTAGAAGCATAAAAGTCTTGGTGAAACGAGAAAATAAAGTATCACGAGGTAAATTACTTCCTAAAAATGTACCACAAGTATAATTTTAAAAATTAGAGGAGAAAGAGTTGAAGTGAAAGACCTCAAAAATTAAAGTTTTAAAGATTGGTACTTTCCAAAAAAATGGAGCCCTGATCCTACTGTGTAGAGATGTCAAATCGATTGGTCAGATCGAATTCTGGTTCGATCATTCTGGGGTAAACCTAATGGCTATAACTTTTATTTTTAAAATTTTTAAATTTAAATTAACACTAAAAATAAAATATGTATAAAATCTATTAGGTAGTGTTTGGCAACTAGCATTTCATTTCAATTCATGCATTTCAATTCCAAAATTTAAAATCTTGAAATTCAAATGACAAGGGGAGGAGCATGAATTTCAAATTAAGCTTTATTTTGAATGAGAAGAATTTGAGTTAAATCCAAATTCAATTTTTTTAAGTTTCCCAAACATGGGATTTGAGCCAAAATCCAGATTTGAAATCCAAATCCATATTCCCAAACATACCATTAGATTATTTTAAAGATATCACTCTCAATAGAAGTAAAACTTAAAGAAAGTAACAAAATAATAGTTTCATATTTTTTCAATACTTGTTGGTAATGTATATGGTCATGATTGACACTATAATGTTCACACTCTAATTTTCCCATTAGTCTGACTCCCTAGATTATTTCCGGTTCCTAAAACAACAAAATGTTGCATAGTTGGAAAACATTAATTTGGAGCAGCATGAACAAGGCATTGAACTGAGAAACTTTTAGTGGAGTATCATGCTATAGACTATAGAGCCACAACTCTTTCTGAACAGAGCATATGAATAGAGTCAAATTCAATCCCCCCCCCCNTAACATAGTTGATAAAAATGCCAACCTAAAAGGGTCTGGACTATAAAAAAAAAGGGGGGGTAACCAAGGGAGACAACTAGACAAGTGAGCAAACATAGGAGCCATGGGATTCAGAACAGCACGTGCACCAAACGAGAAGTGTCTGAGAAGTTTGGGGTCTATATCTTGTATTCTTGAATCACCAGCGCTCTCATCCATGGCCGGCAGTGGCAATAGAGACAAGTTTCTGTGCATCATCTTCAGAGCCAGCCAGCATTGGGGAAACGTCAGCCTTGATGAATGCTTTGGGTGGTTGATGGGTTTGACAATAACCATCAAACTCAACAGCCTTTTCTAAGCATATATCGATCAGTGAAATCCACAGCCTGTGCAACAGTTATACATTACTCAGTCGTGTAACTTCAAAACACCACAATAACTTCACAATGATAGGACTTCAAAATATGGTGTTGAATTGAGCGAAATATGTTTGCTTAGCTTGGGGTAAAAACAGCTGGCGGCCGACATAAACAAATTCACCAAAGACCTGCTTATGATTATCTACGGCACATCTCTATATTGCACATAAGGTTTGCAACTCCATGCACAATAAACTTTCTAGAGAAGTGGGTTCCTAAGATTGGAAAAATGGCACACTTAAATAACTGCAGTTTCTTGCAATAGTAACTTAGTTGATTGATTAGACTTATCAGAAGAAGAAGAAGACAGAAAGTGAAGTAGGTTAAGCAAACTAACTTACAAATACAGAGCAAAAACCAAAGCAACAACACATATTTAAAAAAAAAAATCACCAATAACCCAAACCATATTATGTAATGGAAGAAAAAGACCCTTGAAGTACTGCTTTATTAATGGAAAGAGATATCAGTAATGGAATCACATATCACAATAACTATATCCCATGTCAAGTGACCTTCCAGGCTGTTCTGAACGATCATGGGAGTTGTGGCTCATCCATTTTTAGAATTGTATGCTATGAGATGTGTTTTAATTCGTAGAGATATCGTATTGAATTGATTTTGTATGAGATTTTGTGACATTCCGATTCTATCCCGAATACGAAATATTGATTGAGTCTTTTCGATGAATTAGCATCAATTCCTCTATTGCATAAACCTTCATTTATTTTCGAAACCAAAGAAACGGAATGGTGTTGATAGTGTCACCAAATTTGTCATTGATTCCCAACAAAGATGTTGATTTTGTCTTAAGTTTATTATTTGGAGGTGCATTCGTAAATGCAAAATAGTAATCTAAAAGGAGTTTATAAATATCTCTATCAAAAAATATGACAGAATCGCAATTGTATATGAAATTTAAAGCTTTTGTCTTAACTAGTAGTTGAGAATGACATTGAAGTGTTACTTCTTCACTAATTTGAAGCTTATTTTGTTCGATCAAATCAATAGAAATACAAATTAAAACTCTAAAAATTCTGAAAAGATCAGATCAATAAATTTTTACCAATTGAAGCCGTTCAACAGATTTTAAGAAGGAAACAATACTTGAAACTTGGAAAGAAAAATCGAATTGTAGCTAGGAAATCAGCTTTTATTCACGAGCAATTTATTGTGGTGATTAGTGATCATCACATTTATATAAAATGTATGGACATTCACTTTATGAGACACATTTATTGCTTAACATCTTAATCAAAACATACACATTCAGATTCTTTCAAAAAAATGCACATTGAGATGTACTTCTATGCATATTGAATGACATAGTTATAACTTTGGGTTTTCAATAATTTTTGTTTGTTTACACATTTTTGCTGGTGATCACTTGATAATATAAAATATTTTTAATTTGTCGCATATTGTTTTGTACAACTTTTAATGTACTTTTGAGCAATATAATTTATAAAATGCATCACGGCGGCCCAAAAATACAACAATAGACCATTCTTATTTCTCGCAGTAAGAAACCATTATCACTTGAACAGACCCCTATTAATAATATATATACTACCTTCGTCCAAAAAAATTACACTATTCAAAAGTCACAGAAACTTTTAATTTATTTATTTAGAGAAATACCATAATAGCACTAATATAGCCCTATAATACTCAAAATAGCAGTGCTATATGTTTTTGAGATGCATTCCCGGTTTTGTCCTTAATTAAACATCCAAAATTGAATTATAAAAAATCGGTAATTCGGTCCTCCAGGATTCTTGCGTACGGATGATCTGATCTTCACGACATATTACCGAAAAATCATCCCAAATATGGCCTTGAACGCAGAAGCAACATCGGGAAGGAGACGTGCAAGGGTTTCGATGGCAAACAATGATGCGCTGGACAAGATTCTTCTTGGCAAAAGATTGGAGAAG